TTATTTTCTTAAAATTCTTTGATCTTAGGACTCGAGTAAATGTGATGTATGCTTGGTGTACTCTTGCAGAAAATTGTAGCAGAGGGCAAAAAACGTTTCATCATTCTTTGAACTTTAATGAAAGTAATTTGGAAGCAGGAAGTATACGATTGGTCAAAGTCGGAACTAGTGGAACATTTCAGTGCTGTATCCAGGACCGGCACGAGGGTCCCTTGTACCTTACGAGAAGTACCGCCTGAAAATATAGCAAACAAACTCTTTGTTATCTGTAGAAACGCGTACAAATAGGACAAATGCTGCAGCGCTGTTTTCTTGGAGTGCAATTTCTCCTCTGTGATCAAACGAGACTTAAGGCCCTAGCAAGAAAGAGAGGAAGTGCTTTGATCTGGGTATTGTTCCATAAGTTGGGTGGGGTGTGTGGAAAGTGTTTAATAAGGAGTGCAAAATTATGAGAAGAGAAATGTTTGCTGATCGGTAAACTGAGGCGGCTATTCTTTCTTTTATTCTCATAGGTTTCCAAAGATTTGCCATACAATCCTGCATTACTTGCTGCGCATCTCTCAAATTTAGAGGCTGCTCTTCTTCTTTTTAAAAGTACGAGTAGGAAATCATTTATATATTCTTAATCTTAAAAGTACATGAAAAAAGTGACAGCATGGTATCACATTGTTATCTTGCAAGCAAAGAGATTCATCAATTTCCTAGTACTTTTAGAATACGTATGAATAACTTAGAAATTCACTTTTATTACTTTTTGACTTCCTACACTTTTCAAACTATTCACATATTAGTAAATAATAGTGCAGACTGCAAGCTAACAAACCATAGACCTTTTTAGGAGCTACCAAACTGTTTTGGATCAGACGAACAGAATTTGAAATATAGAAATAAAATCACAGATGCGTGATGACATGTTTAGGTGGAATTCTTTTTATCCGTGCAAGCAATGCCTTTTAGAAAAATAAGTTTTCTACGATTTCTATGGCGGATAAACTGTCCCTCAAAAAAATTCCCACTAATCAGC